AGGTTGTCAAAAGACTTGGTACAATCGACACCAGCATTAGATTTGATGATTAAGGTTCCTCCAGGGTGCATTGGAGTGAAATCCGTCACGTCGTACACGCTTCCATGAACAGCGATCCACATTCTTCCACCTTGTTGGTGGCCAGTGTGCATCGCAAGCTGAGACAGAGGTATCGTAGGTAGATTACAAGGAAGTGGCTTTGGGCTCATGAAGATATCAAGCATGAAACGCCGCTCTGCGAAAGCCGTATTAAGGATCAGGTCTGTTGACTCCATTGTGGCTGTTCGGTGATTATAAATAGCCTTGCGTATGCCATTCATAACAGAGTCAAAGACCGAAACAGAACCACATACGTAAAGATATCCGCCAAGGCCACCCTGCTTCTTGGACATGACCAAATCACAGACTGTGGAACCCTGCTCCGCAATCAATGCATCGATATAGCGAGGCTCAGACGGTCTCTCTACGAGATCTCGGAGTCTGTTATCATATGCAAGGCCTCTCGAATCGCGAGAAAAAGCCAGGTGAACTTCCATCAATCCGGCGTTGACATAGTGACGGAGTTCGTCTTCGTAGCAGAACTTTTCTCGTGACTGAACCCCAAGATATAAGATATTTCTCCCGACAGAGTTCCCGGCGCGGGCTTGCCAGAAACTTCTAAAAGGCGCTATTCCACTGCCCCCCGCAAAGAAAGCACACGGCGCAGCACCGTCAAGAGGCAGTTGAAATGCGACAGGTCGAGATACTCCAACAAGTAATTCTTCTTCTGTTCCAATGAAGTCTTCGGGAGATAATGTGGGTGGGTTGAGAAATCCGCTGCTCACGCCACATCTAGGGGCCTCATGTTGAGCAGGAAAGATCCCAGAAAGTTTGTACTCTGATCTTGAGACAGTAAGATCAACGGTGCTGGGGAGAAGTCCCTTGGGGTAATTGGAAATGGAATATGTCCGTGGAACCTCGATTGGTATCAAATCGCCAAGCCATTCCAGCTGTCCATTTAAATCGAAAGCACGGTCCCAGATGTGTGAAGGCGTGTCGAGAACTGCACACTGTAGCAAGTCGCCAAGAGACCCCCTGACCGGCCACTCATCTGTGGCAAGGATTTGCAGGACTGTATTAGAAGATGCTCGAAGCATGCTGTGAACCTTGAGGACGAGGTCTTGTGTGAGTGGTGCTAGGTGGCCACGCCGCAGGATATCTTTGACCTTGATTTGGGGTGTATGTGTTCTGAACTGCGAGGTGAGGTGGTTGTCCAGCACCGAACCGAGGTGCTCCGCGAAGCGTGTCCACTTCTTATCCAGAGACACTATTGTATCAAGCATGGCATCCAGACCAAGAGCAGCAGCGACTTTAGCGCACTCTTCCCAACTATTCAAAGGCATAATTGCAAGTCGATCGCCTGGCTGGAAGGTAACGCCTGTGTCATGAATATCAAGCGATACCAGAGCAATTGACCTGTTGGGGTCAGAATCGACATAGGAGCGGCTGACGATTCGGCTCTTGTATCGGCACTCCTCGAAAGACCCTCTCATCTCGTGAGGTTCGACCGGAATATGGCCCCGATATGGTTCAAGTCTTTCCTTCATGGCATCAGAAAATTGCTTGTGGACCTCTTCCCAAGGGCGACCTGATGTATCAGTCCCTCCTGAATTTCCGTTAGTCTCTGTGCGGCCAGTCTTTGACGCCACTTCGAGAATCCCAAACACTTTGTAGCGATGCGCACCCATGAAACCGCGCTCGCCTGTATAGGCCTCAATGATTCCATCGAGCACACCTTTGAGTCGAGGGTCCCCAGATTGCTCTACAAATTCCGGAATACGATAATGATACTCAACTGCAGCAATGAAAGCCCTTAGGTTAGAAGGTAGCCATGCTCGAAGATGCACACCTTCCGCCCCTAGGAAGGAGTCATATTTCTTTCGTCCCAGGAAGGCATCCATTAGCAGATAGGGAGGAAATTGAAGGCCAGAAGCTGCCGGGCATCGTTTGGACAGCGGTGCAGAGAATTTGCCCCATCTAACCCACTCCGTAGCCGAGACGTAGTTGTCGCCAGAACTTGGATTGGTAGAGATGGAATGGAAGGCATTGGGCATTCGCTCGAGTATTTCCTTCAGTCTAACCATCTCCCTCAAAAGCCCATCGATATTGTGGTTCATGACGTGCTCCTGACAAGCTGCAATGGCATCTGGCCCGTGTTGAAAGGATGCTGGTTGATGTATGCATTAATTAGTCATTCTTTGCCAAAGCCTTTAAGGTCTAGAACTCACCCGCAGTGTCTGCACAGCCCTTGAGGAAGGCGATCTCTGTCCGTTCGCCAAACATTGGCCATCTTAGATCTGTGTTGTCAAATCGACCTACATACGGATGTATCGAGGTCGGATCTCGGACTTTGATATTGTATGAAGCTTGGTCGAAGAATGTGAGATGTGGTATAGAGCGACCCATTCGCCTAGAGATTTGATAGTATGGAAGGCCAATAGTCTTTGGGATTCCCACGAGTTCTTCCACGAGATCATCGCTCATCTCGACGAGCGGCTTCGTAGCCATAGGTTGAACATTGACGCCATCGGTCCCATCGTTTTTGTCCTCGTAACGGTAGATGGAACACAGCATGCCCAGAGCGACTAATGCTGCCCAGAGCGCTTGATCCGGTATGACATCGTCTGTTCCCTCAACGAGCGGCAGTGCAGCTACAGATTCTCGTACTCGGCCACGAGAGACACACCCCGGCATTCTCTCGCAGAGGTCAGACCAGACACGTCCTGGTGAGTTCGCGAGAGCGCCTGCGGATTCATTTGCGTCAGGGGGACAGAACCCATATTCAGCACTGAGATAGCCGTCCTTCCATCCAGTCCTCCGACCAATTTCCTCCGCTCGCAAGACGACTTGTCTCGCCGGTGCACCAAGTGCGACAGCGAGGAGATCTTGGTCCGTAGCAACCAAAGTATCGATCTCACGGTTTTTCATGCCATTTATCTGGCTGCCCAGTGGCATATCTGTATATAGGATCTCGTTGATGGCCTTTCTTTCCCTTGCCCGTAGCCACTCGTCAACATCCACGCCGTGAGGTATCTGAAGTAATTAAGATAATCAGTAAGGAACTGTGATGTTAAATGGTAACGACTCACATCGAACGCTGCATGGATGTCTCCCGGTTGCGTGTATCCAGAGAAGGAGCATCCTCGGGGACCGACTCGACTACTGCTCCGACTTATACCAGCAGGACATCTCCCGGCGACTGAGCCGGATACTGGACATGATCTCTCTGACATGATGCCGTACTGTTAAATATTACGAAGACGATAATGAAGTGATAGAGAGAAGATAGCTCGAATGAACAAATATGTTCACTGAAATAAGGCCACCTGGGCAGAGAAGAATAGCACCGTCGAGGTGGAAGACCCGCAACCAGTGCTTACAAGGCAAAATGAAGAATATAGCGAAGCAAAGGCAATGTGCTTGCCAGCAAGGCAGCTCTGAATAGAATGACCAAAAGGACAATAGTTGAGTTGTCGGCTGCCTCAAGTGCAGATGAAAACATAAGCATATGCCGAAGGCTTTAACCTTAACTTGAAGCTTACTACGCAGTAAGGACGCGTGCCGAGGAGGCTCCTCGGGACTTGCACCCCTGGAAGCCAAGTTCAGGGTCGGCTGTCTTGGGCGTTTTGGTGGTCTGAAGCCATCCCAACATTGGTTCAGGGGATCTTGGCAACGGACCATTGCCGGGTCTACCTGCCAGGCGCATGTCCAGAAATCCGGGGAACAAAACAGCTGCGAAAAGGAGGCGAAGAAGAAATTTACGTAACACTGTCAAGTGAAGCGAGATTTTCAAAACATGTAGCCAATGGCGAATGAAAGACAGTGGGACATTTCCCTCAAAACGGGGACAAACTGACACGCCGAGACGGATGGTGATGTCGCAGCTTCAGCCAAGGTCGTCTTGGCCCGTGGGCCTGATGCGCCCTGTTCTATTTTCATTTTTTCTCTTTCAGGCGGCTCTCTAGCCCACATCCCGTGCCTTGTCTCCAGTTGTCACTTAACTTAACTATCATGTTGCGCAATGCCAGCGGTAAATGAGACAAGCAGCCATCGGTTGACATCGTTCGCACGGGTAATCAGCTCATACATGGAATGTTGTCAGGTTCGTCTATTGTTGATCTTGCACATTGGCAGCAAGCTTAAGATACTTGCTGGCTGGCGTCCTTGACCTGAAGGTATACCTATGCATCAATGCAGAGAAGTGAAGTTTGGTTCCTGATCTACAGATCTTACCGCGTTGATCACATACTGCATCCCATGATGTGCTGGATGGTCTCTCGCCTCCGATGATGATGAGACGGCTGTTTGCACAGCCAGCCCAGAGCTGAGGCCAAGTGGCCATTCTAGACCCATCACTGTTACAAGTGTAGCACAGACCTTTATCCACTAATGTCAGTTTCCTGAGCGACACCCACCTGATGAAAGGAGTGGTGACGAGTCGTGGAATGCAGGAGCTCTCTAATCTGAAGAAGCAGGACTAGGTTGGGGAAAATGTCACGCTATAGTTGATGCATGTGATAGGGTAAGACTACCCAACATGGGGAAGACAAGAAATGCAGCACAGATAGTGGTACAGACAATCTTGACTAGAATGGGACGATAGATGCCACATAGTAACCCAAGCTTGCAAGCAAAACCTCCATTATGCTGGCTCTCGAATGGATCTGGCCATGCCCACAACACAGCTGGAATCAGGAATATCACGTACAGGTGAAAACGTCAAGAGTTGCTGATACGTCATTTTATTGATTGATCATGATCACACCAACACCTCAAGTATGCCGTCTTGAGATGTTTCTCCATAGAAAACGCCATTTACGATGTATGCACTCCCAGAACGCCTCCGCCTGATCCGTGTCAATGAGAACGTTCACCGCCAGTGTGATGAGATCTTCGGCAAAGACCAGATACAGTCATGATACAATAAGTCACCGCCAGATGAGATAAAGACACCCAGCAATTCAAGCCTTGCCGACCCAACCGGCGTTGATGAAGAACTCGAAAATTCTCCCGCCTTTTTGTGTTTCCAGTCTGCAGATCTCCTTTGCTTGCTTTTTCTTCAGGGTACCATTGCCTTTGAGAGCTTCTTTTAGAATCTGTTCCTTGATCATCAAATATGGTTTCGGCTGCAACCGAACAACTTCACAAAGCTTGGCCTCTTCGGGTGTGAGAAGATGTAGGTCGGGCGCGTTGTCCTGGCTAAGACTTAGTGGCTGCACCCCAGATAATGGTTGCGGCACGTATTTTTGCCGCGCAGGCGATGCTGTGCCGTTTGCGACTACGACACTGCCGCCATTGACCGTGCCATTGACATGCGTGCCATTTGGAAGGCTCTTGGTATCTCCATTGCTGCTTGCATCCCCATTTGTGACGCCATTGACCGGGCCTGGTCGAATAGGCAGTTCGGGAGCCACTAACAAGGCAGCGCCGCTGGGCGGTTCAGGTGCTGCTGGTTGCTTGTTTCTTTGCGCGGATGCCAGCCGCTCGCGATCCATGGAACCCATGGGTATCTGCTTCTGAAGTCTTTGTGCCTTCTCCTGCTCGTACTTCTCGCCGCTACGAAGGTCGCCGATACGCATACTGCGCCATTCCTGTAGCTGAGTAATAGCTTGCCGTAAATTCAGTTCGTCAAGGAGCCCCTGGCAGAAGGACTCAAAGTCGTCGTGATTCATCATGCGCGCAAATGGCTTAGCCTTGTTAAGAACGTCTCGTTCCTCCTTTGTCCGCTTCTTCTCAACCTTGCTATTTTCGCGGTAGTCCAACAGGTTGTGCTCAAAAATCACCTTCTTTCTTTCAACACGCTGTGTGAGTCGACAGTTGTAGATCTCCATGACAGTAAGTTTTAACTCCATCTCTGGCTCCAGCTCTCCTGTGCGGGGGTTCAGGCCGTCACCAGGGTCAAACTGCATGAGTTGCACCGCCTCTTCAGCTTCGTTCGCATACTCTGTCTCAAATTCCAAACGGCCAGGCATATAACCCTGTATTTCGTGGCAGGACGGGACACTTGCCGTGGGCTTAGTCTTGGGTTGCAACGCCGGCGCGTTCTTCGCCGCCTCTCTGCGTTCCTCGATTCTTCGCTTCTTCCTTGCCTGGAATTCCTCCCGAGATATTTCATTGGCAAGCTCCATGTCGTGGGGGCTGCATCGTTTTGGGAGGGGAAAACTAGGCGAATCGACATAAACTTTGAGATAATGATCACGGACTTCGTCCTTGTGTCGATAGCCGCCGATATGGTCGGCGATGTCCGCCCATGAGCCCAGACCATAGATCTCGGCGCCTTCCAGCAGCAGCAGCTCCTCGTCGGCGCCCCATTCCGGGTCGAAAATAGGGAAGGAGTTCTGTTCAATGACCCGGTAGGGATGTGACGCGGGCTGATGGAAGTTGCTTGATTTGCCCTCGGAAAAACACTGGACGCAAAGATCGTATTCGTTACAAGCACTGTGCGCACAACGTATGCGAACCTATGAAAACAAGGCGTTAGAAACCTGGCTGTAGGGCGCGGACATAGTTGCTGATGTTGTCGTTCTGAGGTGGACTAGAGAGACCTACCGTGGAGGTAATGTCGGCAGAGCACACGTCGCACACATACTTGACACCACCCTCACCGCCTCGAGCGGCGGTCTTCTTCCTGATGACACCCATGATGAAGTCGGGCGCAGGTAGATGACCGGGGTCGGATGGGAGGACAGCGAGGCTGATGAGTATCTAGGAGGCGGGTAAGGAACGATGCCAGTGCATGAAGGGCCTCATTCAACGACGCGCACTCAGTCAAAAGTGATGCGACGCGTAATTTGATGATATTGGATCATATGTGATGGGGGATCTGATGGCAATTCGCCTTGCTGTGATGCGTTGATGTTGAACCCGCCGTTGGAGGCGACGTGATGGCCCACTAACGTTGTCAGCGACAAGAGGCGGAGCGCACGGGCCAACTTACTGCGGGTGGAGTGTCGATTTGGGGGAAAGGAAGCGGGGCGGAGATTTTTTGTGATGTGCCATCTGCCGCCGCCTGCCACCATCTGGCAGACCACAGACCACAGCCAGTCAAACATTAACCCCGAATCACGTGCTGTCAAAGTACCGTCCTACGAACTGATAATATGCTTACACGTCCTTGCTTATGACAAGACATGACAGAATCCATACCTTATGCGGAGAGACGCATATTCCACCAGGCATAGGGGCGAAAAAGCGTTCCTCGGTAGAAAAATGCCAGTCTAATGCTACAACAATCCTATGTGGATTTGTCTGTGTGTGGCAGTGTTATTTTGTGTATCATTGCTCGGACCCGACCGGACCGAAGATTTGGCTAACGAAAGACGACTTGGCCAGGCTTTTCTGCTTGGAGTCTAGGTGTAGAAGCTTACCTAAAATCCATTGCAGGCGCAGAATTTCGGCGGCTCTACACGGAACCCTGGCCTGCCTAACTGAGCTTCCTGCAAAGCTTTAGCAATCTACGGCTGGACGGACGGCGGCGCAATTACCGGCCCAACCGTTGATCGTGATCGCAACCCGTGCACGGTCCATGGCCGGCGCTCCGGTGCATATTTGGCCGAGCAGCGCAGTCGAACACCCGGCACGAAGCGGACCGTACAGAGCTGCCATAGTACAGTAGCCTTCCGTTTAGTATTGAACTGCTCTGCTTCTTCCGCTCACTTCGAAACAAAAATAAAACTCTGACGAACGGTAGCAGGGGATGCAAAAGTAAGGTTGATTCTCATGGCAAGTTTTTACGGCCAACCATGGCTTCTATTTACCGAATTACCAACTTCGACTCAGTTGTTATCATCTATGGCTTACATGCGGACTTACTGCACCTATATAACGTTACTTTGCCATTGGCGGCAAGGCGTGGCGTGTAGGGGCCATATGTGGGCAGACGGGACCCCCGTCTTTGACGTACCTAGATAGCACTAAAAAAGACTGAATTCTGTCATCCCGTCCCATAACGTTGGCGACCCCACCAGCCCACCTTCAAATGCTTGCAGATCGATCACCAGTTTTGTGTGTCCAGTACAAATCGCTTCCTTAGGACCTTGACTCTCTCTCCTTCATGTTCTGGGATAAGCACGCATATATATAGTCATATCTCTAACGGGCAGCTATCCCCTGGGTACCATAGCTCATAGAGCCACCTTTCTCTTCCGCAATTCGTCGTCTACACTCTCTTTTGCTACAACACCATCCGTTTACGAGGTAGCACACCATGCCCGACAAGATTCTCGATGACATCTCGCACCGCAGGTTCAACCCCCTGACTGGTTCCTGGCTGCTTGTTTCCCCCCATCGGACAAAGCGCCCCTGGCAGTAAGTCGCCCATTTTCTCGTTTCATTCCGAGGCCATGCGTCCCCGGAGTTTCGTGACGCTGACTGTCACGTAGAGGTCAGCAAGAAGCCGCAGTCGCCAACAGTCTTCCAGAATATGATCCAAAGGTTTGGCACCTGTAGCATGCCCCTGACTAGTACATATGTGAAGTCTGACTAGTTGTAGTGCTACCTATGTCCTGGGAACAAGCGCGCACAAGGCGACTCCAACCCCAAGTACGACAGCACCTTCGTCTTCGTGAACGACTACAGCGCTGTCAAGGAAGAGCAACCGGGGTACAAGTCCGAGAACAGCAGCGATGGTATGACGACCACATTGCCGTAATCCTACACACAAGGGAGACATGCTTACTGGCTTCTTTCTACTCCAGATATCGCCTCGCTCCTCCTGCGAGCCGAGTCTGTCACTGGTAAATGCTACGTTCTCACCTTCAGCGCGAAACATCACGTCACGCTCGCCGACATGACGCCCCAAGAGATTCTGCCCGTCATCGAGACATGGACGCGCATCTACGCAAGCCACCTCGCGCCCTCGAACCCCCTGTCCGCAGTCGCTTCGAAGCTCAGCCTCCTGCAAAAGCCGTCCGGCCCCGAAGACACAGTCGAGAAGCCAGCGCATCAGTTGCGATACATGCAGATCTTCGAGAATAAGGGTGCTGCCATGGGATGCAGCAATCCCCACCCGCATTGTCAGATATGGACGACGAGCTCGCTGCCAGAGGAGCCCGGGAAGGAGCTGGTGGAGATGACCAAGTATCGCAAGGCTCACGGTGGCAGGCACCTCCTGGCGGACTACGCCAAACTGGAGATGGAGAAAGGCGAGCGTGTCGTCTGGCAGAACGACGCCTTTCTGGTTGTTTGCCCCTGGTGGGCGATCTGGCCGTTCGAGGTCCTCATCATCGCCAAGCGGCATGTCCGAGCATTAGTCGACCTTACAGACGAGGAGCGGCTGCAGTTCGCCGAGGCCATCCAAGAGGTGACAAGGCGATATGACAACCTCTTCGAATGCAACTTCCCCTACAGTAAGTAGCAGGACTCATGATATCTGCTTGCTGACAGTCGCTAACACACTTGTGTAGGTTCCGGCATCCACCAAACGCCGCTGGACTGTACCGAAGAAGAGGCCGAGAACAGCTACTTCCACATGCACTTCTACCCGCCGCTGTTGCGCTCGGCGACGGTGCGAAAATTCCTCGTGGGATACGAGCTGATGGCGGAGCCACAACGAGATATAACTCCCGAACAGGCGGCTGCTCGACTGAGGGATCTGGGCGGAGAGCTGTATAGGAAATCACTGGCCAAATAATTGTATTATGGACGGCCATGAATAGAGGCTGGACTAATCAAGCTGCGGGCGTCTTGGCATCTAGACTTTGCATAAGTAATTACTATTACATGTTTATACACCATGATGGCTACCAACGAAGCGATTGGCACTAAATCGAATAATAATTCGACACTCCGGGTCCAAAATGGCTATTTTCTCACGGCCTTTTCCCTCTGATGCAGCCGGGCGCATCAATTCGAGACATAGTTGTGATACTGGAGCGCCATCCAGATCGAGCCTCCGAAGCCGGCTCCCAGCGGGAAGAGATGCTCCCAGCCGGGCCGGACGGTCTTGAAGACGAACAGCTCGCCGGAGTAGTGGGTAGCGGCCAGCAGATGTGTCAATAGCGAGAGCTGGTAGAGGACGGGGTCGCTGACGTTGTATGCGCCGTACAGTCGGATGACGCCGGTGATGAAGGTCCAGGTCCCGAACAGCCGGGCGGCAAGCGGTGTGAGCTGGTCCCGGGCCTTGTCTTCGTCTTTGCCAGCGCCGGACGCCGGGAGAAGCTTGTGGACGCTATCTTCGGGGTTATACGTTGCGGAGGTCTTGGGCAGGGAGTTGTTGGGCACAAAGCGGCCGTTGTAGATGCGCCGAGTGTAATGCAACGTCA